ATATATATATATATATATATATATATATATATATATATATATATATATATATACTATATATATATATATATATATATATATATATATATATATATATATATATATATATATATATATATATATATATATATATATATATATATATATATATATATATATATATATTATATATATGTGTATATATATGTATATATATAAGTATATATATATATACTGCTATATTAGTGCTATATTAGTGGTATGTTTTTATAATTTATGATGGTGTCTACTCACCGATGTGTATGCGTGTCCAGGCATATATTTGTGAACAGGTATAGTATACGGTGCGAGAGTACCTGAGATCATAGAGGTGTGTCCTTCCAGATTATATCACCTTCGCAGTAGGATACATGTGACGTACAATTCTATGTGCTCCTACAAATATGCTTAAACATCTCGAAGTGCATTCTTATCTCTGCCTATGTGCAAATATGCTTAGGCTTCACGATATATAATCTTATCTCTACCTATGCGCAAATATACTCAATGTTAAAGTTGGATACAGTGGCATAGCCTCTCCGCAACATCATTTGAAGATACAGTGTACTTGTGCATTAATTTATATACGTATTTGTGAGCTATTGATCCCGGTTTTATCTACCGCTGTTCAATCAGTGAGTTGTTCTTGTGCCAGTACAGCACCTATAGATCTAAACTTTTCGCACATACTATATGTTCTCAGGTTTGGGTATAATTGCGCAGGTATTAAAGTCTTAGGCATCCACAATATTTTTGAATGCGCATATACACACTTGCGCAATTAAAAATCTTCTGTAGGTGTCCTGTGCATCTGTGCTCGCTGTATTTCTTGACACCAGTGCTTTCTGATTTACAACAGGTCTGTGTAAATATCTCAAAGTAGAGTACCTGGCTTGTCTTAAAGAGAACACCAACGATTCTGCGGAATGTCGGCTCATCGCAAAAAAGTATCTGGACTGCCGGATGGCGAAGTATGTGCTCTTTTTTTCATGACTTTAGTTTGCAGGTTTATAGTGGTAGAGTAATGATGCTCAGTCACCTTTTTCCTCTAATTTATGTACTCACGACTATACAATGCTGCATTAAGGTAGGTCTGCGTTGTAAATGGTACTTCTGATTCGTGGATTGATATTGGGTGGTACATTTTGCGTCAGCAGTTCTACGCAAACTATTGATATCTATGTGATCGTTTGTGCGTGCCTCTCATACTCACTGCACACACTTGGCCTATAGTGATCTGATGGCGAGAGAAAATTGGACCAAGTTGGGTTTGGGGGATGTTGAAGACGTGGAGAGCCCATCTACTGTGGGTGGCGCGACTGCTGCTCAGGCTCCGGTGATGACAGGCGAGCCCAGTCGGACACCGGGTGAGACAGCACCTTCCAAATCATAAAGTTCCATGAGACAAATACAATATGCCACGATGATAGGACATTTTTTTTACCTTGTCTTTATTCATTGTTCTAATGTTTTTGCTGCCATTGATTGTGCAAATGTGGCCTGCTGTGAAACGCAATCTTGTTGGTGGGGTAGCTTGCCCTTGTCGTGTCTTTGTCTCGTGTACTACCTTCAGTATATATAGTTTATGGCCTATGTGGACGTGTGCACATGTGATGCATCAATATTGATTAAAGTAATGTACCAGCTTGCCGCCAAAATTGCTTGCCTAAAAATCGTGAACCTAGAGTTATCGGCGACCGGCACGTAGTTCTTCAGTACGTTTTGATACGATAACCGTTTTTCGATGGTTCACGACTATCTCCTCCGACCACAGCACAACAGCGCGAATGCAGTCTCGTTCGAACTTCCATATGTGCGTTAATAAAGATACCCGATGCAAGGTGCAGAGCAACATGGAAAATTCGTGAGACTTTAGGGGACACGGATTACAACCCTGTATCATCTCACAAATAGTCATATTATCACCTGGCTTGATTGTTGAATCAGTATTAAAATGCGGTTCACATCCCACGTTTTGCCCAGGTTCTTTCATACGCTGATTTGGTGTACTTTTCCCTTTGGATACACACCCTTATTGATACACGAAATCGGCCTATCCAATATCCACACGGCTATGTGCGTTTTGGCTCCATGCGACTGGCAAAGTGATGATTCCTCAGACAAGATCACGATAGCTGTCAGAGGTGTATCAGCAATTTTTTCGTAGCTGGACTCGTCAACTTTGCCTGTGGATCACGGTCAGACCGAATATTTTCCGGGCTACAGTTAAATCTACAGGAGTGATATCGAAATACAGGAGAAGCATGACAGGTACGAACGAGTCCAGAATGTAGACCTCGGCGATGCAGATTAAGCATCAGTCCATGAGGTAGTATTTTTATGTAGCACTTTCCGGAAGCAGATGTTGCGTGGTCACTGAAAACGAGTATAACAGTATGGCAGTAAATAGAACTCAGCCGTTTGACTGATAATCAGAGAATGAGGGAGGTACGCTGCTACACTTATACGTGTAGTAAACTAGGAATCCGAAAGAAAGCACCATGGGTAACGCATCGTATAACATTGCCAGCGCTTGATCATGCATTATCACTACAATCGCTATTTGGTCTGCCCAGACTGGGGAACTCAATACCAGTTGCAATAGTAACGTGTTCCTGTAGAGTTCAGCGTCACACAACGAAATGCGCGGAACACGTGATAGATCATTATCTGTCTAGCCACGAGCACAGCAAGCAGCAAGAAAAGGAGGAAAGGTGAGATCAAACCAATAATCCACCTCGCATCCAAATCTTTCCATGTACATTCCAATACTAAGCGAGGTGAGCAGGACTGCAACCACTGAGCTGTGCAGAGTGCCCCGGCGACTCATAATGCTTGTGTCCCTATTGTGCAGGCCATAGCATATGACACTCCAATAGAGTGTTATACTAAATAAAGTAGCCACCATGTCGGTCCAAGCTAGGTATACATTTGTATCCCGAGAAAAGGCAATGACGACACCGAAAAGTAGACCATTAAAACTTATTACTATCGCAAGCCATAAGGAATACCCACGTACCCCCAAACTTTTCCATTGCTCCCCTGTGCACTCTTTAGTGTGCAAAATATGTGAAAGTGTGGCACGCGGAGGCATGAATTCACAGTTGTTTCCATGTTGACACTACACTCCTATTTTCAACTATTTGTGTGGTTATCGTGGCCTTGGTGCATTCTTACACAATTTCGTACTATCGCTGTGTTTTAACGAGTAGTTTAGTCCTGGGAAGGTAATTGAACATCGTGCTATACTCGAACAGACTATTGCTATACTCGAATAGACTATCACAACGGAAATGGGAATCACATCGGAAGCTGTATTTATACCACCTAAGCTAAGCCAAATTGTTTCCTTGTGTCGCTATGAGACTGAAAGTAGAATGTAACGGCCATATTTTAATCTAAATAGAGGTTCGAATTCTCTAGTGACGCTATTTTGGATTTATGTGAAATGTACATCTGAGGAAGTACTCTCACTAAATGGGTATTATGGTTACTTTAAAATAAAATAAAACATATTCCTCTGAAAAGGAAGAAGAAGGAATAGGTGGTTATGGAAAGTCATATATTGTCAATTCATTAACTTCATAAGTCCTATTTTAGAAGGCACACATGACGGATGTGGGCTGCAATTTGTTTAAATTGTTTTAAAATAAAAGTGAATATGGTGCATCACAGCAAGAACCAGGTCGTTCATCCCGATTTTCACCCCCAAATATTTCCAAAACTCTATGTAGCCGTTCTTTTTCCCCCCAAAATGAATTGTTGCTTTTGGCAGATCATGATAAGGCCAGATGAATTTCCAAAAACGACATTCTGGACATGTGGTGGCCCTATGTTTTATATTAGGTAAAATGTATTTTTGCCCAGTCCAAAAGCTTACACTCTAGAGGTAAAATGGGGCCTAGCATACACAGGATGATAAATTTCTAACCCATTAAATTTTGACTTAGACATTGGGATCGAAAGGTTTTGAGAAATGGAGGTCAAAACCGTCGAATTTTTAGGTGTTCACTGTCGGTGTCGGGTCGGTCGGGATCGCATGCTAAATATTATAGTCAATACATCGCTCCAAAAGCCCCGGATTGTGAAACGACATTTTGGCTGAACAAGATTTTTTTAAGTTTGCACCAAACATTTTGCCGACTAAACTGCTCTCAAAATCGACTTTGCGTGATTAAAAAAAAATGTTGTGACCCCCAGTCCCCCAGTAAATGTGTGGTCCCTGGGGCTGGGAACGACCTGGTTCCTCTGCTGTGATCATATTATTTACAGTTAATGCATATTTATATTTTCTCTACTCTACTCTACTCTAGTACTGAAATAGGGGAAACAACCGAAATACATATGAAACACAATGTTCAAACTTTAACAGTCAACAGCTGTTATTCAAAACCAATAGTTCAACAAGTGTTTCTAAACAATCTCTCTAGTAGTAGTAGGGCCTCTACTCTCTCTCCAGTAGAGGGATAAAGTAGATGATTAAAAACCGATATGTAGTCGCTCATACCTTCATCATTCATTTGCGGCTACAATTACTCTAGGTAAGTTATGAGTAATATTTTTACTCCGAGGCTTTTGATCATTCGAAGGATCATGGATGGGTTTGAATTGAAAACAACATGGCCTTCTGGAGTCTGGACCCTAGAGTCTCCGAGTCTGGAATTCCGAATTCTGGAAAGTGGATATGTGAATATATATTAGTTATGTACTGAGTTGTTACAAAATTACATATTTATGTACTCGTAGTTACTCGATAGTGGATATTTACTATTTAGACCGGAGAGAGAGCCAGAGACTCTTTATCAAGAGCCGAAGAGGGCCATGAAAGTTGAAACAGTACTTTAAAAAAAACAACAGTGTGTAGTAGAGAAATAAACTTGCCTGAATTGAATGTGTGAAATATGGTACTTGTCGCCGTTGTCGGTTGCATACGCATATTGACGGCTTGTACTTACATACATGTAAGTTGGTATTAATATTTTTATATATAGTCTGAATCATTTTGAAGGCATTAAGTCTCGTTTCACTGTCGCCGTTGTCGGTTGCATTGCATATTGACGGGTTGTACTTTCATACATGCTAGTTGGTAATAATATTCATATATATAGTGTGTATCATTTTGAAGGCCTTATTAGTCTCGTTTCACTTCAAAGTTAAACCTCGCCGTCATATGGCTGGCAACTGTTTGAAATAGATTTTTAAGTCTGATGTCATCGCTGCCGCTGTTCCCGCGAAGTTTGCCATACACACCAATTTCACTACTATCTCTAGCTATTTTATTAGTTCATCGATACATTTGATACAGGCATGCGAATTTCGCGCACAATATCCATCAACAGACCGAACGATGAAAATATACACATAGCCTAGCCCAAAACAATATTTTTCTTGGTTGATGGCAGCGGCTGAAGATTCGCTTTCTGAACTGTTTCTTATTTACAGTCAAGGTTGCAATGAGATGTATATATATAGCAGTCTAGTTTTTTGAGTAAGTATGCGGCAGTGTGGAACAAGAGTAGATGCGAAAGACTTGCATGCTCAATGCCTGTTGCACACACAATTAACAAACGCAAACTTCAGAACTATCAATTGAAAGCGAAAACATACAAATATATATTGAGTCTTGAAAGCTGAAAATTAATTCCGACGTGTATTAATACCGAGCCGATAGAGGCATATTTTGGTTATCAGATAAAACTCGCTAGTATAATATCATGTGCGTGAAATTTGCAAGATGATCTGTGGCACCGATAATTAAACTGACCCCATTGTGTGTTTTGAATAAGCGTGGTATCGATTTAAACTGTCCCCCTTGTGTGTCCAATGGTACACAACCTGCTCTGGCAGTGTCGAGTGATTTCCAGTGCCAGTCAACAGCGATTACCAGGGGCGCTTAAATGAAAAGTTTATGCTTGCAATACTAGGTGGTTAAAGCTGTAGCTGCGCCTTTTATTTTGACACACCTGTTAAAAATATATTATCATTTATCATTACCTGGGGGTTTCAAAGTCTATGGACAACGTCGCTGTGATTGAATTATTCGTGAGATGAGTGTGCAAAATGTATCTACCAATTTTGACGTATTTGAAGGCTCAACTACCTTCATATTGTTGTATAGAATCGCAAAAGCATTCGTCGAAATACTATTCAACAAACGTGTTTACGATGTTCGATTACCTCGCCTATGACACGTGTTGTGTATGTTACGGTGGTAGTTTATTTCCAAGACTATCATAACAAGCGTATCTGCATGACTGTTTCACGCAGCAAGGCAGACTTGTATCGTATCAGAGCGGAGTCCTCGGTAGATATAATTGTCGAGTGCTATCAACCGAAGATTTCCTCTTCTGCTGAGCATGATTTCACACGGGTGTGAAGTCTCACCTTATTAGCAAGGTAGGTTACCATAAATATATGAAACATTTCATTATCGCAGCTCAGAAAGAATTCGTACACAGGCTACTAAAAGAACTACGTTCGGATTCCAAATGTACTTCAAACGGTAAATAGAGCCGAAACCTTTTATTGTTATCTCAAATACGGAATTTTAATTTGCTCCAAAGAATAAATACATTCCATCAACGACCTGGATAGCTAAGAGATCTGGTATTTAATGAAATTAAGCGGATGGCATACTGGGCTCAGTCGGCCCATCCAGTAGCATGAAAGTATCACTATTTTCTCGAGGGTGTACAAGTTACATTCCCATATCAAGTTCCACCTTTAAGCCATTGAACTGGGTTGACTGGATGTACTTAGTCACTGGTGTGTGTATTGCTGACGGCAAACATATGGGTACAATCGCCATTCTGTGTGCAGCGCGCGCATAGATGTGCATTTGGTTGTCATCCATCATACCTGCGGCCACATCATCTCTCCGAAGAATGCTGCATCTGATAAACCCTCGCCTTATCGACAATCAGGCACACGTAGGTGCTTTAAAGGTTGTCACTAAGCAGCTAGTGGGTGGATAAGCTTTGGAGACCATCAAACACCTGACACAGATCTGCTCAGTAGCAGCATTGCCTCTCCGGGACAGAGAGAGTCTCAATGCACCGCCATGCCAATCTGGTACCGTAGAGACTCTCTAGCTCTATTCGTGCTCGATTCTCAGTTGACCAGATCGCAAGTATCGACCTCTAATCCACACTGTCTGGAATCTATTCCAATTCAGAGTCACTGACCACTGCGTCTTCCTCAAACATGTCCTTCGCCGTTTGCCAACACTGCAGCGAATTGTCCGCGTCAACACTACTGATGTAGAAAGGGAGCTCTGGATTCCAGGAGGCGTCTTCGATCTATATTACATGGATATGGTGAATAATGATAGTACAAAGATCAACACAAAAAGTTGCGGATCCCACACAAACAAAGCTGTTAGAGAACCAGAAGAGAGCCAATAAACAAGAAGTATGTGCACTACGTTGCGGATTGCAAGTCCATCATTCAATATGGTATGATGATACATGTCGTACTATATACAACGTAAATCAAATACACATGCAGAAGTTGGATAGTGGAACGAATATTTTCTAATTTAGAAGACAGAATATAGAGAACTATGTCACGCTGCGAATCCTACGTGGTTCGTCTAATACTTCTCGAATCTAACGAATACAGAGTCAAATTTCATAAGCCCGCTATACAACGAAATATTGACTCCAAATACCCCGGGAGACATAGGTATGTAGGTTTTCCTAGGTCAGTTTAGAGCTAGACAAGTCCTGTATCCACTTTCAAGTTATATACAGTTACTATTAAAGCCGCATAGAGTATGAATTTCTAAACAAAAAAATCAGAGTCAACACACACATTGGCTTTGAAAAAGAATAATGTTTTCGTGCGGTGCACACAGTATCAAGTAAGTACAAGCTCTTAAGTAATTCTACAAGCACGTACACGCAAGCAGCGATATTGAAAACATTGATTTTAACACACACACACACACAAATATATATATATATATATATATATATATATATGTATATATATATATATATATATATATATATATATTATATATATAGTACTATATATATATATATATAT